AATAAAGCATCTCATTCTAAAAAAAAAATTTTAAAGTCTTTCTTGACCCAAACAAGTAGTATTAGTACGTGGCTTGGTCTCCAAATGAAAAAAATGTTTGTTCATACAGCCTAGTCCTCGTGACCACTTTCCACCTCTGTGCTCTTTTTGAAGCTTGTGTTATTCAGTTTACTACAGAAGCTGCCACTGCTTTGTCAAAAGCACCTGAATGTTTCCTTTTGTTACTTCTGCTTCCCGCTGATACCAAAACATAAAGAGTAGTGAAAAGGTCTGTGTTGGGGTTCTGTGTAACAAAGTACAAATATAATGATGCTTGATTCATTACTTGCTTATGTGTGTGTTTATTTTAGTATATTTATATCCTCTTGTGCCTCTTCCAGAAATAATGTTCTTAATAAGTTTTCCCATTTTTGCAGTTACTTTTTTCAAAAAAGATACCTTGCAGTGAATACACTTGAATATTCCTCTCAGTTGTGATCACACAAGTTTGAAAGACTGCACAAAGAGGGCATATATGGGCAAAAAAATGGAGCTTGCCAAGACATTTTACATGAATAAGATCATGCAGATAAAGAGTGCAAAACCACATTCATTATTATCAAAATAAAATATACTATCTTGATCCATTTAACAAAACAAAACAAAACAAAAAAAAAAAAGTGGGTGGGAAGAGAGTAGCACCATTTGCATAGCCCGTATTCCTTAATTTTGACCAGCAATTTTATGTGTACATCTTTGGTTCCTGGCATACCAACAAGAGATGCAAGCACATGAAACCCTCTACCATATCCCCTAATGCTTCAAGGAAGTTCCTTGCCCTGGGTAACTCCTTTCAGAATTATTTGCTGCTAATAAAGCACACCTGTAACCCCAATTCTCAGCACAGTGACCACTTGCAACCAGCACAGAGATGGTTTATCCTGTGAAATCTGTCAAAGAAAAAATTAATCTCATACAGACTAATTGAGATCACACAGTCTATGTCTCTTTCTCCACTTCCACTGACTTTCTCCCACTAGCCAACTCTCAGGAATACAATACAGATTTGCTTTGATATCACTCCAGTAACTCCTGGTAACAGGCCACCACTGAAATAAATCTCCAGTGGGTCATCTCATCCACACTTGGGCTGCCCACCTGTATGGCAGGTGCAGTACCTATCTGGCCAGTGGCCTTTCCTGGGATAGCAGACTGTTGAAACAGGAGGCTAGATGCTCAGCTCTGGGGAATGCCTGGCTAGTGTCTGGACCAACAGAGGGGAGCTGTGATGGATTTAGGAAGATCATGTCTGATATATTGAACTAGGTAAACTGAGTTAATCCTGTGATTTTTGCCATAGTCTGGACTTTGGTGCTGTTCGAACAGCCAAACTTGCCATGGTAATTCCTTCCCACCTAGGTACACAGAGGATCTCATGACTAGACCCATGGTTAAACCTGTGTCCAATCTTTCCCCTCAATCCCATAATAACAGGTCTCTCAGTAACACAGAAAACAGTTCCCTGTTAATCAAAACCCCAACAGCAAAAAAAAAACCTCTAACAGTTCTTCTCACAAAAGGAATTCTGGGGGTAATAAAAAGGCATGTAGAGAGACCAAAACAGATTTCTCTGATTCCTGGGTGCCCATCTGGAACAAACTTGTCATTTTTCCTCAGAGTGGGCAGTGAAGCTAGGGACAGCTATCCAGCAAAGAGCTGGGGACCTCCTGTACCACAGTTCCCTCCTCCATCCCAACCACTAGGTGCCTCTGGGACGGGTGGGATTGAAGGTAGCTTTGAAGAGGTCAGATGTGAGAGCAGCCAGAAAATCATGGCTTGTCTTCTCAATAGCAGAGTGTCATTTCTACAGAAAAAAGCATTTCTTCCAGGATATCATTCTAATATAAAATTTCCTATCAGATAACCCTAACAGCTATCCTGACCTGGATTTTCCTGACTGCTTTGTGTCAGTGTGGGAGAGAACACACAGAAACTCATCTCCACAACCATCTGGGACAGACAAGTTACAGAGAGTTGGAGATTACATTTTCAAAGTTGCAAAAAAAGGAAGATCCAAGTTGGCCTGAAATTCGTACCTGGGTACCTTGTTCCAGGGACATACCCCCAATACTCTGCAAGCATAAACATTTCCAGCAAGTATCTGAAAACACACCATCTGGGATTCTCCTTTGTGATTTTCCTTTCCTTCCTTTCACCACGCTCAGCAGACATTCCACTCTGGAAGGAGTGAACAAAGCTGCATCTGCAAGCCAGCCTTCCAATCCAAAATGTTAACATTCAACTGAGAATCTATCTTTTTCTTTTCCATTGTCGCGTTTGATATTTCTCAGTGATTTGTCCTAGATGGGCCCTTCAGTCACATTCTGCTTTCAACTCTACTCTGATTCTTCACTTGAGAAGCAATTCTGTGAATCCTGCTGCTTTCATTCCCATCCCTGGCCATCTCTGGCTTTCTCCTGGTATGCAGTGCCCTGCTTTCTTGCTGTCTGTCTGAGGAACCAACTCATATGCAAAAGACTTTGAAGAACATGAGTGAAAATATTTCTTTAAATAACCATGGCTTAGATCAGGAGCAGCAAACAAATGAGATTCGGGGTTTCCTGAGAGCTCAATGGTGATGGGCTCATGCTTTGTCCTGCATTCCCTTAGCTGCCAGTCACAAGCCTTCCAGCCATTTCCTGGAAAGCAACCAACTGACTGTGTTCCCACTTTGCTATGGCCATAAACAATGACAGACTTGCCTTGTCTGGCAGTGCTCTGCTGAGCCTTATCTGGATCCCACTGCAGCCCCCGATGGAGAAAGCACTGTCTCACCTAATTCTTTGTACGTGGGCTGTAAATACCTGAAGATATGTTTTGTATGAGTGAAGTGTCATGGAGGCTATGACTTCCCTACTACTGCTTCTGGCAGTCTCAGGCCAATTGTCCATAACTCACTTTGGCAAGCTGGCAGCTTGCAGCACCTGAAAGCTGAAAATAGGAAAGGGCATTTGCAGGGTGGTGATACGATGGCTTTAAAAAGGATCACAAATTTAAAGCAGTGGAGAGCAAAAAGGCATACCAGTATCACCATGGATATGTGACATTAAACAAACCACTTGTCATGATACACAGCTGACTACTTGCCAAATGGAACAGGATCTTATTATTCATTGTTTTGTCCTGCTAAACCTGCACACCACTGAGAAGAAAAAACTATGGAAAGGTACTGTCACTTTTCTGACCATCCCTGGCTGTATTGAAGATCCTTGCTCAGTGACAATTCCCACATCCATCTACTCATGTGCATTTGAAGACCAAAATGTGAAATCATGGTAGGCACCCAACAACTGCTGCAGGAAAGGGAGCTCCAGGACAAGGTAACTTCCTTGAAGTAACTCACACTTTTAAAGCTTGCTATCCTCCCAGTGCTTTGATTTCACCCCTTTTGTCCCTCACAGTTGGGACGTCAGCCAGGTATTTTCCTGGTATCCCATGTGTGCCCAACCACTGCCACTTGCCCATGTGGCTTTGCCAAAGGATTGCACCAGCCGCACAGAGACACTCATCCATCACTTCTCAGTGCATCCAGCAGCCCAGCTCTGCCTCCATCTCCAGGAGAGACAAGCAGAGCTAACTATCCTTTAGGTTTCATAAGTCACTGCAGCCAAGTAAGAACCTGGCCCACCCAAAAGGGGGCAAGACAATGACACATGGAGAGCCTCTTGAAGCATCCAATTTGCTTCACCTGTGCCTCCCCAGGGAGACTCTCTTGCACTGTGGTGCCTCCTTGCAAAGCACATGGAGGAGCAGAAACCCCATCTCAGCCTACATGACGGCCGTCTTGACATCATATTCACAATTCCTTGTGCCGGGGGGAGCGTCCTGCCTATCACTGTCCTCTCTGTGTGCCCGTAGACGGCTCCGAGAAGAAAAACAAACACGGAAGCAGAAAGCAGGCAAATGCACTGTGGAAAAGTGGGCCACCATCCAGCACTTCCCTGTGGTATGCCTCAGCTCTTCCCTGCTACTTCAGCATGGCTGCCCTGCAGAGAGGAGCTGGTGGATCTGGAGCAAGAGGCAGGAGCGCCGGCCTCGGGGGTGGGGGGGAGGCTTGGATACGCATGGCCCTTGCCGGGGCTGTGCAGCGAGGCAGGGCTCTGCCGGGCAGGGGGAGCGATAGGGGACGTGCCCAGCCAGGGCGATTGCCAGTGCAAAGTGTGTGCCCACCCGCAGACCGCATGTTGTTTTTCTTTGCCATTCCAATGAAAACAATCGTAAATAACTGTAATAAACCCCACACTGGCCAAGGGCAAGAGTGGGTGGGCACTCGCCCTACACAGCCCAGGTGGCAGCAGGGGAAAAAAACAGGAGATGGAGGGACGTGGGAAGTGGGGAGCGTGCCGGTATCCCCACGTACACCACTCGCGTACGGCACCCGTGTTTGTGGAAAAAGGTGGATTTCGGATCTCGCCTCCGGGAGAGGGGCCGGCCCCAAGGACGCCCACGCGGGTTCTGGGGCCTCAGGCCGGCGGATCCGGGCACCTGCACCGCGGCGGCGCCGGAGGGACGGACCTCGCCCTGCCCGGGCAGCGCAGCCGGAGCGCTCAGCCCCACGCGTGTCGGCGGCCGCCGCGCCGCAGCGACACGACCGGACGGGGCGCAAGGGGCAGCGGCGATGCCCGGGTGCGGGGCCGGACGGGGCCGTGGGCGGCGGGAGAGCAGCCGCGGAGTGCGCGGGGTGCCTCTCCTGCCGCGGAGCCCCGCTTTGTTCCCGGGGGAGGCGCTGAGCGCGGGCTGCGCGGGCCCCTTCCCGATCCGCCTGGCCTCTTCCCGCGTGTCTCCGAACACGCGTGTGCCCCGCTGCCTGCGCGCGCGCGCTGGGTGTTGGGTGTTTGGGGATTTTTTTTTTTCCCTTTTCTTCCCCCCCTTTTCCCTCCCCCCCCCGCCCCTCTTGCTCCAGGTTTTACTTCTGGTTGCCTGTAAGGGTTTTGCTCCTCCCTTCTGAAATCCTATATTAGCCGCGGCCAAAGCCGTGTAAGGAACACAGCTCATTGTTGGCAAGTGCCGATGCGCCTCGCGGAGGGGCGAGAACCAGCTCCGGGGCTGCGGCAGCGATCGCGGCGCCGGTCACGTCAGCGCCGGGGAGAGGGAGCCGGAGAAGCCCTCTCTATGCTGGGTGACTCTCGCTGACTGATTCCACCGCCACCTTTGAGGGAGAAGAAGAAAGAAGCCGGGAGGTGAGTGCGGCGGTTCTCGTGGCTGGTGCCGGGTGTCCCTTTTGTGTGCAACAGGAAAAACGTGACTGTAGAAACACGCGAGGAAAGGTGTTTCTCAGCTGCTTGGCTTCATGTCCTTATCTGTGCATTACCAAAATTTCACCAAAATAATTGAGACTTAATTCGAAAAGTTGCTGACAGCGGCTAGGTGGGACTTGCCAATTCTTTGCTTGTTCCCCGCAAGTTAGCGAGAGTGCCGTGGGAATCCGCTGCCTTCGCGGGCGAAGCCGGGGGGCTTGGGCGGCTCCGGAGCGTGCGGGGAGGCGGCGGCGGTGGCCGAATGCGACGCTCCCCGCCGATAGGTATGCGCGACTTGGAGTAGGAAGGCGTGCTGCCCGCCGGATTAGCGGAGGGGACTGGGATTTTCGTTCCGCGGGCTCCCCTTTTATTTTTCCTTTTGTACTCCATGGTGGAGCCACTGTAGATTTTTGGGAGGTTTTTTGTTTTTTTTTTTTTTTTCCTTAATTCCCTCCACGGGGAAAGAGAGAGGACTGCAGGACCAGCGAAGTAATTTCTGCCAGGGCCAGGCTGATGCAGCTGGTCCGGGAGAGGGCGGCTGAATGTCCGAGGAGGGTGTATTTTCCTAATATATTCACACGCTAACTTTCCAGGTGAGCCATGGCAGACCACATGATGGCCATGAACCACGGGCGATTCCCCGACGGATCCGGCGGGCTCCACCACCACCCTGCGCATCGGATGGGCATGGGGCAGTTTCCGACCCCCCATCACCACCACCAGCAGCAGCAGCCGCCGCAGCAGCACGCCTTCAGCGCCCTGATGGGCGACCATATACATTACGGAGCTGGGAGTATGAACGCGAGCAGCGGGGTGAGGCACGCCATGGGGCCGGGCAGCGTGAGCGGAGGGCACCCAGCGGGCAGCATGCCGCCCCCCGCCCGCTTCAGCGGCTCCCAGTTCATGGCCCCCCCCGTCGCCAGCCCGGGAGGGCAGCTGAGCGCCAGCATGCAGCTCCAGAAGCTGAACAACCAGTACTTCAGCCACCACCCCTACCCCCACAGCCACTACATGCCGGACTTGCACCCCGGTAGCCACCAGCTGAACGGCGGCAGCCAGCAGCATTTCAGGGACTGCAACCCCAAGCACGGCGGCGGCGGCGGCAGCGGCTTGCCGCCCGCCGTCCCCCACGTCCCCGCGGCAATGCTGCCGCCCAATGTCATAGACACGGACTTCATCGACGAGGAGGTCCTCATGTCCTTAGTCATCGAAATGGGGCTGGATCGCATCAAGGAGCTTCCCGAGCTGTGGTTGGGACAGAACGAGTTTGACTTCATGACAGACTTCGTTTGCAAACAGCAGCCCAGCAGGGTGAGCTGCTGATTCATTTAAAACAAACAAAGGACTTTTATCGGTGCGAATGAAAACATTCCCCTAGACACGGTGTCTCACTTTTCAGGGCTTGAAAAGGTGAGAATCTGGAAAGCAGAGTCAACTATGCGCTTGTATAATTTTTTTTTTTTTAATCGCTGCCACTTTTTTTTCCTTTTTGTAGCTTTGTCACTCACCTCCCCTCCTGTAGTAATAATATCTAGCAAACTCTGCCTTTTTATGTTGGTTGCCCCCCTCCCGACCTCCCTCTCTTAATTTCCTCACAGTAACGTGCCCATAATTCCCACAGTGCCGGACTGTTAGATATTAATCTTGGCAAATTGCTTAATCTTGTGGATTTTGTAAACTATGATTTCCAATGACTTGAACTGCATTCAAATTCTGAGTGAACAGGGAAAAAAATTGCATTAGTTGGTTGCATGAACTTTGAAGGGCAGATACTACTGCACAAAAGCTGCCATCTTGCTTAATTTTTAACTATGCATTGCAGTGCAGACTAATTTTTTTTTTTTTCTGAATACGCTAAACTGGAAGCTTAACAGATGTGGGCCAAACCTTTCCAGATCAGGAAAAGTAATACTGTTACTTAAAAAGTCTGCTACCCATTCCCCCTCCCCCATATGTACAGACAATAATATGGTGTGGATGGAATGTTGACTAGTGGCAAACATTTCACAGATTTTTTTTTTTTTTTAATTTTGTTTCTGTCTTCAGCGTTTTGACACTGTGCTAATATAGTTTATTCAGTACATGAAAAGATACTACTGTGTTGAAAGCTTTTCAGGAAATTTTGACAGTATTTTTGTACAAAACATTTTTTTGAGAAAATATTGTTAATTTATTCTATTTTAATTTGCCAATGTCAATAAAAAGTTAAGAAATGCTTTAGTTTTTCTAGAAGTCATTTACCAGTATTTTTCTTCAAAACTCTTCCCCACTGTCCCTGGTAAGTAGAACATAACATCTATCTGTACAACCGTGTTGGTGTGCAAAAAGACATTCCAAGATAGAAACTACACTACACCCATATATATGTCATGGTGAACTCGGTAGGTGAGCGGGATTTGAACATACTTACAGCATAAAGCCTCATGCGTTACATTGTAATATGCCTGTCCGTGTGGTTTTCTGAAAAATAAAGTTGCCGAGGGAGCAACTTTTTTTGTGACTTGCCAACATACTTGCTTTAAATGTAGTTGTCCAGAGTTATGATGCATAAAGTATTTATTATATTTATCTATTAAACTTGTAATTTTATAAATCTGCTTTCATTTATATAGTAGACTTTGTTCTTTTGTATATTTGTTATCCATCCGGAAGAGCTATGTAAAAAGTGTGGGAAGGGAGGGTGGTGGGTGTCACCCTCTGCCTCTTTCTCACCTCACAGGAGATTGCTGCATCAATCCAGATCTGTGTGACACTGGAACCAGTTTCAGTTCATTTCCAGTGACTTAGGAGAAGGGGAATATATCATTGAAGTATTTCACAGTGGGACATCTCTGACCCCTCTCCCAGAAATTGCTGCCAACTGAAGCCACTGACACAAATCCATACAGGTCTACTTAAAATTGGAGAAAAATATTAATATTGGAGAAAAATGCCCATTATTTCAAGGCAGCTGACATTTAGTGCCAACTGTTGCTGCCTCCTGCCCTCACTCAGCCTTTGGCAAAGCTCCTGCACAAGTTATTAGTTTGCTGAGGGCTGTGGGATCAGGACCCTAATAATACATGTAATCCTGTTTAGCCATGATTCCCAAGTTTGATAAAGGAGCAGTACCATTGAGCTTTCTTTTTGCTTACTTTTTAATCCATGTCTTCTGAATTAGGAAGAAAAACAGCATGGTGGATGTAGTTAAATTTTAAACCTGGTCACGTAAACAGGAGGATATCACCACACAATGGGAGCGTAAATAGCAGTGTTTTGAATCAAGCTGGGAAATTAAACTGATTACTATTTCTAAGATTGCCCCAGCTGGTGAGAAAAGTGATACTTGTACTTCTTTGCCTTACAGACACGAAGCGGCTAACACGTTTATGAATGTAAAAGAAAAAAAAAATTTAAAAAAAAGTAAATATTTAAGTATTAGCAAAGGTTAAAAAAAAGGAAGTGCATGTTTCTGGGAAAAACTGAGATGACAAAACGCACTCTGCAGGCAGTGACAGTCCATTCCTAGAAAACTCAATACCAAGAATTTTAAAAAAGCAGCCTTCTGGTTTCAGCCAGTGATTGCTAATGTTTTGTGACAGTAAATTTTACATCAAATGACAGTAAATCATAACTTACCAACTCACCAATAACATAAAAGAGTATTTAGAAGAATACAGCTGTAGTTTTAAGAGCCATTGCCCAATTTGCCACTATATAAATCCTTTTTCCATTTCAAGGCTGTTTGATCTGCACACATTTCATTGCCCTCTTCTGCGGGAGTTAGGGAGGGTGATTTTTCTGATTCTAATCAACTTCTTGTAAAACAGACTATCAAATTATGTGCATACCAAATTGCATAGATGTTTAAAGCCTCGATGATCTTCTAAAACCAAAGGGAATACTCTCACTTTAATGATAGGTACTTTTGCTTCATAAAGTTGGTTAAACAACAGCTTCTTCACAGTTGAGACATCACTACTTAAGTCTGTCAACATTAAATCCTTCCATGCAAGCTTTTCCAAGAGTAGGCAGTTCCACGGGCACACTGGTAGAGTATATTTGCGTACAACTCCGTGTGAAACTGAGAGTTGCTGCCTCTGAGTTACAGCAGCTACTGAAAGCACTGGCTTTGGGCAAGGCGTCGTCAAGGGGCTTTATGATTTCTTAAAAGTAGACCCTGGGGAAATTTGCCAAACAATCATATTGTCTGCCTGGTCCCTTTATTTCTAATGAAGAGTCAGATCCCAGTGGATAGCACAACTGTGGATTTTTTTATTCATTATATCATCTACTGAGCAATATTGGGGGCCTGACCCTCATCTTGCCGACATGAACCCCTTGGCAATGCTCCCACTGGCTCCCATGGCTGAGGCAGTAACAGGCTTTCAAGTAGGTTCTCTCTGTCCTCCACACTGCTTCGAAATAGACCGAAGTGATTTATTACTGGAACCCAGCGATTAGTGAAGGATGCACAGTGACCCAGTTCTGCAGCTCCTCACGAAGGACACTGCCGTCTCGCATCCCGCTAAGTTGCTGTCAGTACAGGAAACTTGACCTCTGTACTTTGGCTGTTTTTCAAGAACTTCCAACATGGTACATGAGATCTGCTCCTCTTTAAGCCACGGCCATAAATAGACGCGCTTCTTTATTTGGAAGGGAGATCAGCCCTAAGCCGGCCCGCCACGCAACGCGCGCTCGGTGGGAAATTAGGCACCGATTAACGCCGTCGTCGTCCTTGTTCCTCGGTAGTCAAGAACTCAGGGGTGGGCGCTGGGCTGGAGGCCGCAGGAGGGGCAGCTGCCCGCTCACCGAGGGCCCCAGCCGCTGCCCGCCGCGTGAGCCCCAGCCCGGTTCGGCCCGGCCCGGCCCGGCTCAGCGCGGCCCGGCCCCTCGGCCACCTGCGCGGGGCGGCCGCGGCGCCAGCGCGCCCCCCGGCGGCGGCCGCGCGCTCTGCTGAGGGGGCGGGGGCGCGGGGCCGAGAGCCGCCCCCGAGCCGGGAACCTCCGTGCTCGCTGCGGCCCGGGGCTGTGCCGGGCCGTGCTGGGCTGTGCGGGGCTGTGCGAGGCTGGGGGCTCGCAACGAGGCGTGCCGGGACACAGGAGGGGCACGGCTCTCAGCCACGACAGCCGAGCGAGTGTTTATCGCTGCCCTGCCCGAGGGACCCCTGGAGAGCCGTGGAGGGAGAGCCGCACCCGCGGACGGCGGCCCTGCCCAGCACCCGGCCCGGGAGGGGGCCGCGGGCCCTCCCGAAATTTCTCGGCGCGAATTTAGAAAAGAAGCACACAAACCTGGTGAAAACATGCCTGTTGGTCTCAGGTTCTACTATTTAAAAAAAGGAAAAAAAAAAAAAAGTTATATAAACAAGGATTATCCCCTGCTTATCTTGTCTTGCTAGGGGGATTGGAAAATTCCAGCATCTGGATTTGTGGAGTTCCTCTCATTTGTTCCATTTTTTAGTCACACTTCTTTTTTTTTCACTTTTTCCCTAAGGAGTTGTTTTCTGCACTTGGTTGGATACAAAACCCTGTGGATCTCTGGTGGTCAGCCAAACGCTTGTGTCTGTGGAGCCCCACAGAAGTAGTTCATCAGGGCATAGGTGACTTCTGCATCAACATCTGGCTATAGGAGTCATCCTATTCCTACCTTGTTCCTGCCCCCTTCCTCCTGCCCTCTGCCTCTACTCAAGGGGACAATAAACCCTTGCATCAGAAACGCCAGTAAAATCGTGGGTCACAAGCATTGAGCAGAGGGAAATGAAGCCAGAAAAAGCAGTTCTTGTCCCTGACCCTACAGCTGTCCTTTTCAAAGCCTTAATTTCTTCAAAAATAATTCGGGTTTACTGCAGACAGGATTAAGAAATGCCAATGTTACAGATCTGGGCTACACACACTGACCTTAACCTGATCTATTTCTGTGTCATCACTCATAGGGATAGCAGTGTGAACAAGGACTAGGTAACATTGACAGGAGCTGTTCAAATGATAAGACAAAGTATTTTTTAAATAGTCTGGCAGATATGTTTGTCAGATAACAGTATGTGTGCAATAAAACTCAGATGAGGAATCAGAGGAATTTGGAACCCAAGGCAGCAGCATTTTCTCAGGATTTCATGTATTCTAAGTGCATCATTTTGTCAGTAGAGAGGAGGTGTTTTACATAGTTTATGAAAATATATTTACACATTTCAATATGGTGTCACTATTGTGCTCACGCGCAAGATAAAGCTGAGTCTTAGTAAATGCAACAATAAAGAGATACATCAAATGACTGAACAGATGAGCTGCTGTTATGGTAGGTTCTCTGTTATTCTCTTTGCCTAATTTTAGAAAAAATTTGCAACACCAGGTTTTCAATAGAGTTGGTTCAGTCCCTCTCCATCTGCTGTGCCTTTCCCCCTCTTAAAAAATTACAGAAGGCCAATTTGATCACAGGCCTGAAACAGATTTTGAAAGACTTATTTGCCATATTAAAACCAAGCAAAACATTTTCCACCTTATCAGACTTCGTGAAATGCTAACCACTTTTCACACCTTTTTTTTCCACTGGGCCATTTTGTTATCTCTCTTTCTACTGGGGTGTTCATTTGGCAACATATTACCTATTTTATAAGCAATAAAGTAAAATAAAAGAAACTTTCAGAATTGTCCAGTTCCTAAAACTGTGGCTGAAGTTATTATATTGAAATTATGTGGCTGAACTGTGGCATCGTTATGTACTGTGCAAGTGCACCGCACTTCTTATGCTCAAGAGCTAATTATTCAGCAGATGATCATTGCAATAAGATGCTATGGGCAGTTTTGACCAAGAGCCTCCTAAGAATTACCCTGTGAGTTTTCTGCTGCAGGCTGATTTTCTAGCACTAGTGCACTGTGCAGGAGAGGGGGACATTTCTGAAAGTATATAACATGTCTTATCTGCCGCTATTCAAACACAAGTAACACAGAGTATTTCAGATTTTACTCTCTCTCTCTGCAGAATACACATTCAAAGGCTTGATACTCAAAATCTTTTCTATTTACTTCAAGTTACATTATTTGGTCTAATAAGTGATATTATCTCTGTCTACAAACCTCGTAGAATTATATGCCCTCCATCAATTTTATATGAAGCAGAGTATGTATTTGAAGGCAGATATTAATTCCTAGGATTTCCCAATGACAGGGAAAACCACCAAGCTTCTGCACACATCTGCTTTGTACAAAAACTAAATAGTTATATTTTAGGTTCCTTTTA